ATATGTGGCTTCTACATGGCCATTGCAAGTTCAACGAGTGGCCAATACATGTCTAACACCTTGGAGCTGCGAGGATAGTGTATGGTCGATAAATGGCCAAACACATAGTCGATACATGACCTTTACACACCTAACATGTAGCCAACACCTCGACATCGTACGTCCCACAATTGCCCAACTACAGCCAAGTCAACTCAACCATAATCACCTCCCAGATTTAGTGTGCCATTAATTTAGAGGAACACATAATTGTTAGTGATTTCAAAAGTAATAGTCCTCAGTGCCAACTATAAAATGGACTTCCTAGGTACATTCCCTACGTACTAAAATTCTCTTAAAGAGCTAATGCAAATCGTCCAAATCCTGAGCTAACTTAAGTATCAGATGAGCATTGGTTGAGAATGTCTTTGAATTAGCTAAGACTGATATGAAAAGGAACCCCAGTTGGCTCCGAATTAGCTTCCAACTCAGTAAACCAAAATTTAGATTACCAATTTTGTAATGATTTTATTCAAACAACCTATCATCGAATAAATAAACTTCTATTTTCAAGTCCTTGCTAGTCATAGATGCTCTGCAAACCAATCACGTGAGTGATGACACGTGTGATATGATATGCACTCTTTCTACATATTATATGCATATATTGCGATATCCATGGATTTGTGTAATGTAAATTGGATCATGACGAGATCACGATAATGAGATTGATTCACCTTTAAATACAGACCCTAAATAATCCCAGTCATAGGTTCCTTGAGAGGGACATCTAGATAACTAGACAGACTAGTATGGTGTATAACTATCCATATGATGGAGGCGACTGGTCTCATAGTTGCTCATGTGGGAATACTAAAGATACAATCCAGATGCTTATTGGAGAATGAGTTCACTGATTGATCCGCTCACGGAATGCTGGATGGTTGATGATACATAATTGTCAAACAATGATTCTGTGATCCCAATAATGCATATAGTCTTTAGACTTGAGACACCAATGATATCCTGTATGAGTACTTCACTCTTTCATACTGGACTTATAGGTCTAAAACTTTCAGATCTAACACAGCTGGTCATCGGGAATGATAGCTAACTTTATGAGGGCTATTGGGTGTCGATAGAGGATCATCCACTCTCGGTATCATAAGAGGAATATCCTATGTGTTCTTCTTGCTTAGGCAAATCCCTAGTCAGAGTCATTTGGATTGAGAGAGAAAGTGTTCTCCAAGAGAATCCGATTAGAGCAAGACTCGAGTATATTCCATGTGGGCCTAACAATACCATGCTCGGTAAACGATCTCTAAGATATTAGATGGATGAGAGACTATAGATATACGATGACTAAGGACAAATAGGTCCAATGGATTGGATTCTCTTGTATCGTCTACGGACTATGGCATAATGACCTAGTACATCCGTAGTCGATAAGTCGAGTGAATTAAAATGAAGACAATAATTCACTAAGTTAGAAAAAGTTTTGACAAGTATGACTCATAGCTTGCTTGATATTATGTATAAAGGGTCACACATATGGTAGTTGCTGCGATGAGTATATGTTCGGATATGAGATATCCATTAGAGCCTCTATCTTATTGGATATCCAATAAGTCATGAAATTATTGGATCTTATGGATAAGAGCCAATATGAGATTATTAGATAGAGATTGACTAATCCAAGAGGCTTGGGTAGTTGGATGGAGATCTAGTACCCAATAAGGTAGGATCCATTATGGTTAAGTTGATAAGGGGTCTACAAATAGGAGGGAACCAAAGGGCCTTAGGCTAGACCCTTTTTCGCTACCATCTCCTATACTCCTCTCTCTCTCTCCTCCTAAGTCAACAACTCTCATTTGAGACATATGGACAACAAGAAGTGTCGGCCCCTTTTTGATCATGTGGTGCGCGTGAAAAGGAGGATTGTGCTGCGATTTGATGAGCGTCTTCGTAGCCTCTACTATGTAGATCACCGCTAAAGAGGAGGATAGTTGACTTCATCCTCTCTCATAGATTTATATTTTTTTATACCAATCTTCGCACGACGATGAAACCTTCCTTTTTCTATGAGAAATTCTAAGATTTTATTTTATGTTCTTTTGCTGCACATGTGATATTGTCCCAAATTTCCCAATAATCCTCTTTGCAGCTAAGGAATTCTTTATATCTTTTATTTATTTAAATTGAACTCTAAAATATAAAATTATGAAATAGTCCTATTCTTCAAACCTTTTCTCGCCATTCTCTTCTTTCTTGTTATTCAAGAATATTCTTACATTGTTTTCTACATGCATTATTTTCTTTCTTGTTATTTGAGAATGTTCTTACAGTATTTTTAAATACTACATACTTATCATTCATGACAACCTCATTTACTTCAATCTTCTATACTAAGAGAATAAGTAATATATAAATATCACAAATAAATTTTTCCCACACATATACAAATATATGAAAGAAAAATCATCATCATCATCATCAAATAGATGAGAGAGATCATCACCATCACCATTATCCTCGTGCCATTATCATGGTTATCATCGCTACTATCGTTGTTATTTAAGCATTTATATTAGTTATTAGCTAAACGAGGATTTGGTTGAAAGAAAATATATAAAGACCTTTTTCATAAGCTTTTCTACGAAAAGGATTAAGCTGATAAATCTTTTATGTTATAGTTCCACGGACATGATGTATCCATCAGTTGCCTTTTTGTCCTTTTGGTGGTGTGGCAACCACGTGTTGATCTCCGAGACAAATTGTTGATGTGGCATGTTTATTGGTTGGTTCTTTCTATTTTTTAGTGGCATGAAAGACACATGTGGAGCTTCAAAGTGAAGGCGAATTTTTCCCATATCACTTATGTCCTTATTGTTAGTTTTGATGAGTGAAAAATCGAACATGGAGAGGTGAAAACTCGAAGGTGAAAGGGTGAAGAGATAGAAAAGCATCTAGAATTTGAGTAGTCTCACTGCTATTATATGGTTTCATAGGGGCAATGGTGGGGCCTCACTTGCATTGTGAGCTTTCCAACCCTTTGAAACTTTTTTCTCCTTGGTATCATATCCTAGAGTACCTTTCTTCTCTTTTACTTTTTAAATTTTTTAGATTGGATAGCATGAGTTCCTCGTCAAACTTATTTGAGTCTTGATCCCTTAATCACTGAATGATAGCGAGAGTCAAAGTTCTCGGGGAGAGAGTTCTCGTTCACCTTTTTAATGAGAACATCGATCGTCAACTCGAAGGTCAATAAAGACCTTCAAATCACATAAGGGTTTTTATGGTCAAGACTCTATTATCACCCAAGAGTTCTTGGAGTAATTGTCCCTCAAGGATTATATTCTAGGTGAGTACGAGATGATTATACCTTGGTGAGGGCTTCGGCTTTATGAGTTGATGTGTAGGTTTTAGCAACTTCAAAGAAGGAATTGAGATGACAACCAACACTCTTTTGTTAAAAAAAAAAAATGGCAACACTTAGAAATAACATAGAGATAAACAACCTACTTAATTTTTACCCTTTGTCATCTTGTGAATCCAAATCATCTGAATAGGAGGGCAAATGTATGTATCTCACTCAAATTCAATTGCCCCTCAAGGATACCACCTTTTATGTCAATGGAGTTATTTAAGGTGGTCGTTATTTTCTTATGATGATCACTACTCAAGTTAGTCACATTAGTAAGATAATATCCTGTCAAATAGTCATATTGTCAAAATGTTCACTTCCTCAAGACGATGACTCTCTCAAGTTTGTTGTGTTAATGAAGAAGCTCATTTTCTCAAAATGATTGGATGATTATTTCCGAAAGGTGACCACACACTCAAGATAATCACATCGTCAAGTTATTCATAACATAGTATCAGTCATATCGTACCTTTAAATTGGTCAAAGTTGGATTTGACCAATTGGGTTGTTGGTTGATTTGCTACTACGAGCTAATAGGATATAGCAACAGAGGGCAAATCGAGAGCACAAAATGTCAAGTGAGCTCATTTGGTGTAGAGCTTACTTGGGGCTCCTCAAACCAAACCTTATTAGGTCGAGTACACACATCTCAAGCGAAATTAGATTAGGATCCCTTATCCATCAAATCAAGAATCTCAATCTCAAAAGAGGAAAAGCTCAATCTCACTAGGTCGAGTGGGCACCTATGAGGCCAAGTCGAGGGCCATTTCTTCAAAAGAGAAGGGGTCTTTTACTATCCTCGAGAGTTAAATACTTAACCACTTTCTTACATAAGCATCAAACAAGAATTTGTCACATACGCAATACAAACATATACAAGTTTTCTTTATGCTTATGACATGCAATGCATCCCGAAGTGTGTTTATCTAAGATACAAGTATCTTATTTGGACGTGATATATTTATCTAAGATAAAAATATCATCTAAAGCATCCAATACATTTGAAAGTGTTCTTCGAGGACAAGAACTCACCCAAAGTATCCAATACAATCAACATATCTCTTTGTGTGTGGAACTTCTAGATAGAACAAAAAAGTGTTTAAATGTCTGAAGCATCCTAAAGCATATCCTTTGCATATGATGTATCTATACAGAATATACAAAGTATCCAAAGTATTTAGTTTGATCGATGTATACCTTTTATGCGTGATATGCATGCATCTTCTACTCGTGAATTGAAGTGAGACAAGGGACAAAGGAGGTAGATTTTTTTTCACTTTTGGGAATATTTCTCCCTCGTTTAAGTTTCAAACACTCAATAACCTTTTCTCTTCCACACATAACATTGCCTCTGGTCAATTTCGTTAAGTTAAATTGATGATCGAATTAGACTATATCAAGTGGATAAATTTCAAAAAGAAAATATGGATAAGAATTAAAATAGACCATTGATTCATTATTTGGTAATGTAAATTTAAATATAATTATATTATTTATTTCTTCCTAATTATGACTCTTAATCTTTTTTATTTATTTATATGCTACATGTCTAGTGTGCCCTACAAATTAATTATTCTTAGATACCTCCTACGCACAAATGGCTCCTCCATTAACAAGTGAAGGAGAAAAAGCAAGTTGGGCTCGACTTAATATGGATGTGATGGAGATGATCCTGGAGCACCTAACCATAGTCGACCATGTCCGTTTTAGCAATGTCTGCAAATCTTGGCGATCAGCCACCATCATCTCCCTCCGTGCTCTACATGCTCCATGGTTGTTGGTCAGCGTAGATCAATCTCCTCTAAGTTGGGGCCTTTACACCACCTCCAATGGACGACGAAACCTAGTCTTGGAGATCCCAAAGGAGTTTCGAAGCCAGTATTGTTGTGGTTCATCCAAAGGATGGTTGATATTCGTACCTAAACCACCAAAACGTTTTCGAGGTTACACAGTTCATCTCCTAAATCCAATCACCGGCAGTATGATCAACTTTTATCCATTCATGCACTTTATTATTAAGGGTGTCATATCAACATCTCCGCTTGCACCAGATTTTCTCTTCGCGATATTGGGTTCTCATTGTATGGAAGAGAACATAAGTGTATTTTTATATGAATCAGGGTATCAATCATGGCAGGACTTAAAGATAGATGATCCCATGGATATTATGTTTCACCATGGAAGGCTGTATGTTCTGACCGGCAAGGCAAAAATCATGGTCTATGCATTCAAACCCCACTGGAAGGTGTCGATCATCCCTATTCCTTCCTTGTTTGGAGAGGAAGAACATCATCCTAGCTCATGCAATGGTAGGCTTGTGGGGTCTAATGATGACATCTTTGTTGTGTCCTATGATACCAAGCTGGGAGAGCAACAACAATTGAAGGTTTTCAAGGTCAGGGAAAGGGGACTACGCCATCACGTAGTGGAGGTTGATAGCTTGGGCGGTCACACCTTCTTCATTTGTAGCTTCTCGGAAGGGGTGTCAGTATCTAAGACAAAGTCATCGTCAAAGTCAGAGTTAATGAAGCCAGACTGTATCTATTATCTAAGTCTTGAAGATAACCTAAGGAGGTATTGCATGAAAAGAAGGCATACATTTCAAGTAGCAGGGTTGGATGCGTCAGGTGATATCCTTGAATGGTTCACTCCCAGATTTGAGGATCGATCGAGTTTGATGGCAGTGACTCCATCCAATGGCTCCTCCCATTCTCGCTACTTGCTCCTCGCCATCATCATCATCATCATCATGTTAGCCTGTGTCATCCGATACGTGTTGGGAAAGCTTGTATGATTGATTTCTATAAGCATTTATCAAATTAAAGATTGTAAACAGTATTTGTCGACTAAATCAGTGAATATAAAATTTTATAGTAAATGTTCGAGTGTTAGTAATGAGTTCCAGAATTAGTATAGTAAATGCAGCACAACCATTTTACATTTAGTATGATAAATCTTTGTGAATGAAAAGATCCATTTGATGAAAATTATTGCTTCTTCTTCTTATTGGATTTAAAAGAGGATAGGAGGAAGAAGATGCTCCTATCATTCATCTTTCCATTGTCTCATCCATAAATCCATTTTACCAATGTGAGGGTGAGAAACTATGAGCTTTCATCAAACTCATAAGATTTATATTCTTTGCCATTATTACTTCAATAATTAGACAACTTTAATTTTTAACAAAGTATTTAAACTTCTTGAAAATATTAACAACTTCACATTTTTACCTTATGAAATAACCCCAAGTCATGCAAATGTAATGATCAATAAATAGAATAAAGAGAATATCTTCATGGATCCACAAATATCCAAATGCACTAATGATAGTATTTTTCTTATTCCTCAATCAACTCATCAAGAAAATGATAGTTTGTAGTACTTTTCAAGTGCACATCCATCACAAATGGATATTGGCTTTCTTCAATAATAGATAGTCCTTCCACCATGAATTTTTGTGAAAGAAACTTAGACTACCAAATTCCAAATGATTAAGTCTCTTACATCATAACTAAGAATCATCTATCATATATTCTCTTCTAGTAACATTTCGTTATACTTACTTGTGATAATATTTGACTTCTATTCTTTGCATTTGCTACCTTTAGTGAACCAAATGAAGTTAAGGCTATCAAACTTTATTTTCTTTATTGATTGTCATAATATGATCAATTTTTTTTAGGATATTAATTAAAATCTTTTTCATAGATCTCTTGTCACTAATATTTTGACCATTAATCTTCATTTGGTTCACTAACTTTATAAGTTTTGTGTAGAAATCATTTTGATAGTCTTAAATTTCATTATTTTTGTTGCTTATCTTTTAATCTAATTATTTGATCTCTTGCATGGTTCCATATTATCAGAATCATCATAACCATTCTCAAGTTCTCATATTCACAAATTAAAAAGCATAATTTTCAGCATTAATAATTGGAACACTTGATGCTGTAAGTTGAGACTTGAGTTGCCATTGCTTGCAATGGTGGATCCTCCCTGAATCTTCTTCTTCCTTGTAGCTTGAATCCACAAGAATGATCAAGAGAGGGCTTTGATTTGTTTGGCTACTGTAATTAAAGATTGTATAAGAAAAGACAATGAGAAGAGCATCTTCTTCCTACAATAATATTTGAAATCCAATCTTTCATACCAGTCCTATAAATCACACAATCTTCATCACATAATCAGTAAACATGAGTCTTAAACTCAACACCTTGGGATGATCTTCATGAAGATCTTGATGAGCTCGAGGAAGATGAAACTTTGCGTCTTTTTTTGACTGCATCTTCTTCATAGCTTTTGGAGCTTTGGGAATCACAGACCGAGGGCTGCAAATACATGGAGAGCATCAGCAAAGAATACAACACTAACAACTGATGCTTCTCTTACATTTAGCTGGAAGCAGAAATATGAAGTTACTGATACAGAAGAGAGATGTCACTGTCGACCATAGCAGATGAGGAGTCTTGGGATATGGGCTGATGATGGAAATCGATATTGTCAAGCCATCATCCTGTTATTATAACTTAATATTACATTATTAATTGATGTTGATGCTACCAATATCCTAACAGGCGATTAAAATGCTTTAAATCTGCATAAATGGCAGATTAATTTAGCAAATGATAAAGATGTTATGTGAAGAAGAAGCCTACTCAAGATCCCATGCCCTTGATAAGGTCATAATACACCTAATACATGAATGCAAACTAGAGTCTTTGGCGTGTCTTTGGCAGAATTCAGATGTTTTCAAGAACTTTGAGTCCTCTTGGAGAAGAACACAAAGTTACATTTGTCATCACTCTTCTTTAGATTCTACCGCCATGGTTGGACTCATTTGTCTTCTTTCTTTTCACGTACCTTAATAGGCCGGCACTGTATCTTCCTTATTAATCCTTCATAGTCTTACCTTTTATTAGGTTTCTTTCTTCTGTGACTTGCTTGGAGCTCACACAATGAACGACCTTCTCAAGGTATTCATCTCCTTCTTTCAGAGTAAAGAGTTCATTATGTTTCATGGGCATTGTGGCTCTGTTATATAGAAATCCTACACAAACTGGATTATGTGTTGATTTTTCGTATATTATAGTTATCTTCATTAATCTCATAAAGAATTCATTATGTTTTATGGGCATTGTGGCTCTGTTATATAGAAATCTTACACAAACTGGATTATGTGTTGATTTTCTGTATAGTAGTTATCTTCATTAATCTCATAAAGAATTCATTATGTTTTATAGGCATTGTGGCTCTGTTATATAGAAATCTTACACAAACTGGATTATGTGTTGATTTTTTGTATAGTAGTTATCTTCATTAATCTCACAAAGAATTCATTATGTTTTATGGGCATTGTGGCTCTGTTATATAGAAATCTTACACAAACTGGGTTATGTGTTGATTTTTTGTATAGTAGTTATCTTCATTAGTCTCATAAAGAATTCATTATGTTTTATGGACATTGTGGCTCTGTTATATAGAAATTTTACACAAACTGGATTATGTGTTGATTTTTTGTATATTAGTAGCCTTCATTAATCTCATAATTCTGTACAGCATGTAATATAGGCACCTGAGCTGATCATTTTATAAAAGAAACCATGTCACTGACACCATGATGCTTTCATTGAATAGAGGAATTCTTTTGAAATGAGCACAAGTCAATCTCCGAAGGTGAGGGATGTCGAATTAGGAAGTCTGCATTCGGATAATACATCAGACTATGGAATGGAAGATTTTTTTAAGCAGGTAATATTACTGTACATGTACTCCGAATTGTCTAATGGAAACAATATGTTCACATCTTCAAAATGAGAATCCCAATAATGTTTGTTTTGGAAAATACTTTACCCTCATATTTGTTATGAGTGAAGTTATTTTAGAGAGTTTGCATTTAGTTTTCATATGTTACTTTGTTCTCTAGCTTTCCTTGTATTCTCTAACTCAGCCTGATCATTAAAAAAAAAAGAATAATTTATCTTTGGATGTTCATTCATTCATCTTTATTAGGTCACTGGAATTGAGAAGATGATGGAAAAAATATCCAATCACCTTAAGAAGCTTCAGGTTTGTCACACATTCTTAATCATGTCTTCCTAATTTCCTTTATTTCCACATTGAGTTCATAAACAGAAGTATATAACTCACTGCTTTTGTGATGGTCTGCTGTTGTGGTAATGTTTGGTGATGCTGTCACTGAATCCTTATTCTCCTTATTAGTTTTGCATATTTGTTATGTTTTAGTTATCTTTTGCCATTAATGAATGAGCAGGTAAGGTTTCTCAGATCATTAATTTCTTTTCTCCTTTATCTTCTGTAGCCATCAAATCTTTATGACTTTAGTAACTAAGATATATTTAAAGTAGGCTGCAATAGCTATGATTTGATGCTCATTATCCTCTCCTTACCAAGGAAAATTTTGGTATCATCTGGTATGGTTTATGATGCATGATATTGAACTTGTATTTACAACATACAAATGTTTGACCTTGTAATGGCAAAAGCTATCTGTTTAGGATCTTTAGGGGCAATTGGAGATTCATGAATGCCAATGAAAGTCATAATAGATTCAAAGAGATATGTGTTTGCTATCATAATATTTTTCCCCTTTTTTTGTTGAAAAAGCTACAAATTCTTTTGAAGCCAAAGATAAGTAACCAGTTCATCGATCTGTTAGAAATGTGATCCCAACTAATGTTAATCATCCATATGTACCAGGAAGCAAATGAAAATTCCAAGTCTGCTACTAAAGCCTCTTCGATGAAAAGTACAGATCTCTTCGGCTTACAGCTGATTATTTCCATGTTCTTTAAGTCAACTGAAACATAACATACTTGGTTCCAGAAATTAGACAGCAAATGGAGAAGGATGTCGATGAAGTTGGAAAAATTGCTCACATGATCAAAACCAAACTACAGGAAATTGACAGAGATGTATTGTTTTTTAAAGTTCATGTTTGAAAGTATCAATTCCAGAGAATTCATAATATCATGAATCTATCGATTCCCTTATTCTTCTATAGAATTTAGCCAACAGAAAGAAGCCTGGCTGTGAGAAGGGAACAGGAGTCGATCGATCCAGGATGGCTCTGACTGCGTGAGTGTTACCATTATGCTTGTAATCATCATATCAGTTCATAGCAACTCAGCTCAAAACATGTTCCTGAAACATTATCATTGTTTTTTCTGCTTCCCACCACAGTGCTCTAAAGAAGAAATCGAAGGACAGAATGAATGACTTCCAGGTACCATATCTGATATCTAGTCCAATCCTGCATGTCATAGGTCTTCTTTTCTGTACTGTCTTTGATCAAGGAAATGTGTTGTAGAATCTCAGGAAAACTATCCAAGATGAAAACAGAGAGGTGGTTGAAAGAGCGGTGTTTACAGGTTTCAATCTTTCTGAAAAAAAAGATATAAAGTAAAAGGAAAATTATTACAGAACTTGTTGTTCTAAACTTTGTAAAATTTGACAGTCACTGGAACATTACCAACTGATGAGGTGAGGTTTATAGCCATTATGGCCAGGTGGATTAGTATGCTAAACTCTTCATGTAGTCACTCTTGGTTGCTCAAGTATGTGCAGATGATCGATCGCCTGATTGCGACTGGAAACAATGAGCAAATCTTCCAAAGGCAATTCAAGAAATGGGTAGAGGGCAAGTATGATCATTATTGTACTGGGGATTAAGGATTACATTGGTATTTGGTCATTAGTTGTGCTTTAATCATTATGAAGCATGTTTTCCAGATAATTGACATCATAGAGGAAATCCAAGAGAGGAATGATGCTGTG